ACTTGAAAGATTAGAGTATAAGAGAATGAAAGACCCCCCCACCCTTTTGTTCTTGAATGCAAATGAGTAGATTGAAGTTGTGATAATATCATATGAAATGTAGCCTGTGCAAGTTTTACAGACGTTTTGCGTCATTCTTACAAAGACTAGTAATAGTAATCCTAACCCCCCCCCAGAAAAGCTCACTTTTTCAATTTATTCATATTTTTTGAGTTTTTGTTTTGTCTTGTTTGTTTGTTTTATCACGAAAATCACACCAGAGTTGTTGGCAAATGACATTGCCAATCATTTTCATTCAGCATAAGGCGTACAGATGGTCCCCCCCAGGTCCCTGCATGAAAAACTGCTGATTTGAGAGGAATGTCATGGTTAATTAATAGCTGCCATAAATGGGAATGCTTTCCATGCACAGACTGATACACGCCAGCATTCGCCTCCTTCGCCAGCAGGGATGTTCGCCCCTGCACATCCGGAGGTGCCTGAGCGGTATGGAAATTCAGGCGCAACCTGCTCAAACACAGGATTAGTTTGTGATCTTTCGACGAGGACGGTCTCTCTTTTCATGTCACAGTACCTTAATCCCCGGCAACTGGAGCACAGGCCGCTCCAAAAAAAAAAAAAACCCTATGGAAATAGGCTCTGATGACATTATGGGTGAAGCCGGAGGAGAACGCATCAGACGTAGGGACACGGGGGAGGCGAAAAACCTGACACAGCTGCATAGAGATGTATGAAAACTGCTCAAGGATTTAATACTGTAGTGAAGGAGCGGTGCGAAAACTCGAGTTCAGGGAGATAAATGTATACTGGGGATTAAATGTCCGACTGATTCACTGATCCAGCCGAGTTTTTAGTTCATCGGGCCTAGCCGTCCTTAAATAGATTTTAATTTGATGGCTCAGTGACGAGCAAGATTTTCCCCCCGTAGGCGGGCAAATAGTCCAAACAGATGAAGCGGTGGTACAGCGTGACCATGTACACAGCACTTAGTATGTACAGGGCATACCTATCTGGAAAGCAATTTTCACAGCGCTGTATACCTCAGATGTCTCGATACTCCTTCCCCTCTTATCCCCTCTTTCTGCTGAAGGGGAAACGGGCCCTGTGGTGCAGTCAGAGATATAAATAGAGCATGGTTTTATTTCACTCTCATAAACATGTAGATTGATTAGGGTCATTTTCCGCTAGCCTGCCTCCATCCACCCAAGCCTTTGCCTCCATTAGTGATGAAAACCTAGATTTATTGCCACGTCTGTCACTTCCAGACCATAATTCACTGGGCCGCTGGCTGCCTGTTTTTATGTAGATGAGCCATGGGAGTAAAGCATATTAAAGGCACATGTCTGTTTGTCCGTAGGAACGCATACAGGTCGCCAGTGGGGTGTTGTCAATCAGTCGCCTGACCCTGACTGACACCGGCATGTATCAGTGTGTGGCCGGCAATAAGCACGGGGAGGTCTACTCCAATGCAGAGCTGCGAGTTATAGGTAAGACCCCGCCCCGGTTTACAGAGTGTGCAGGGATGCGCACAACCACTCTGGCATGTGCGCATCCCTGCTTGAGATGTGTGCGCAAGAGTGTTTGTTTTCAAGTTTGCTCCCTCTTCAGATGACCTCTGGCCTCCCTCTTATTGGCCACTAATTGAAAAGCATTAATTATAAGATGAATGCGTCCTGCTGACAGTGATGTATGCTCAGAGCTGCTTTGTTCACCAGCCTCGCCCATCTGCGCTGTCAAGCCCGTCACTCTTCGCTCTTTGTCGGCAGCCGCCCTCATTCACCATTCAACCTCCGGCGCGTCTCATCCTGATCATGTAGCCGATTGGGCTCGGGCTCAATACACCTGATTTTACTGGTCAATGGGGAGAAAAAAAGAGGATGTCGGGGAGGTTATCGGACAGCACACGATTTTTTTAAAGCGAGTTTTAGCGCAGGCGAGTTGTTATGAGAGTGATCAGACAGCACATGCAAGCCTGTTATCAATCTCTTCAACCCATCAGCTGTGGCCATTACTATTCAGCGTTCTGATTACTAATTATTCGCATTATAAAGATCTTTAATCCACTGTCATTGATTTACCCGCAGCAATAATTCAATGTATTTGTAATGTAATGGTGAAAAACTGTTGAGCCCCACATTTAAAATGAAATAAACGATCAGAGATGAATTGTAGGAAGGAGAAGAAAGTGTGAGGCTTTTACAAATACTGGCTTTAACATGCTGCTCTTGTCTCAGCTGTTGCCCCAGATTTTTCTCACAATCAACTGAGGAGCCAGACGCTGGTGAAGGTAGGAGGAGACGCGCTCGTCGAGTGCAAGCCCAAGATGTCTCCTTGGGGTGTGATCTCTTGGCGGAAGGGCAGCGAACCACTGCGAGAGACCGACAGGTAGCAATATTTGCTTTTACCACGACATGAGAACTGCTGTGCTTTTTGCATGTGCTCTTATTGCTCTGAGACACAAAGACAGACACGTCTAAACAACACTCGCCCCATATGTGCACTTGTAAACTGTTTGGCCACCATCACTGATGACTGCCAAGACTTGGAGAACACCTTAAAAGAAAACCGAAAATGACTTATTCTGGTAGCAAAGGGTTAGAGCTAGGGATAAAGGTCAGATCATCACTGATGACCTAGTTCTCATGCTTGCATTTATATATGTAAAACATCAAAGATATGTTGACAAATCAATCACAGCACTGACCAACTAAAGATGCAGGAAACCTTAAAGTGACCACTATACTGTGCTTTATCAGACCTGTCATGAGGATGAATGAGTATACCGTTTGGCTTGCATACTGTAACGTAGTGTTAAATTAGCGCATGTTTTGTATGTCTGTCGAGGCCTGAAATCACAAAAGAGACTGATTTATTTGTTTTTTTAGGAATTCAAAAGAACAGTGTCAGTGTGCACCACAACGCTTCAATCTCTGAGGCTTATTTTGTGGTCGTACTTCCATGGAGAGATTTTGATGCACTCCTTAGATGTGGCTAAGAATAAAAACAGCTTGAAGCTGAGCTGAGTAACGGTTAATGGGGTTTACCGTGTTTTATCTCCAGCTTTTTAGTGGCGGCCGAATAGACCGGCTGCTGAGTAAATTTCAACGTGCTAATCAAGTACTTTTCACCTCAGCGGGACGAGAACGACTCCAGAAATCAAATCATTTGAGTTCTGTCGGGTTTTTCAGCAATGAGGAACGATCTCAGCGTCCAGCCACGTTTGACCCCTGAAATGTCACGCGTGCCACACGTGATAACTCTGTCGGTCTTGTGCGCGTCTGTCAGAGTCCAGCGTGAAGTCTGGCCCAGTAACCACGCTCGGAGACAGGGGTCGCCCATTGGGTGTCACCGTTCTAGCATGACCCGGCTCTGACAGCAGGGCTGTGTGCAGAGTGTCTTGCCAGGCTTTGCATATATACAAAGCAGTGTTGTTGCTTGTCAAACAAAGTGGCGGGGAATTTGCATAGTGGTTTCGCTGCTGGTGCCCTTCACTTGCCCTGTGCCACTTCCATAACAAACTTCAACCTCACAGCACACTTTGATCCTGTTGTTTGGAAATCATACTTTGGATTGTTTGACATGAATCGACGTTGCTGCGAATGAAGCGACGAATAAAGCGGCAGAGCTCAAAGTTAAATAGATGCTTTGCGATTCTTTGTTTCCCTGAAGTTCCATCACTGCACGCACTTGCCCTTCACTCTTCTCACTTACTGCCGACTGTACTCACTCGGTGACCAACTGCTGAGATAAATAACAAATGACTCGAGATTTGAATCATTCAAATATAATCACACAACAACTCCTGAATAATTGAAATTAGAAGTTTGTTGTGGGCGAAGCTGCAGCAGAAAGATAGATTTACTTTAGTTCTTCAGTGCAGCAGTGAGTATTAGACTAATGGACATTTAGTAGATGGATTTCTTTAACGCTGTCTTTGTTCTGGTGGTTTGAAAGTCTGTTTGATGCTCGCTAATGTGTTTTAATGCTTTTACTCGCACTAAATAAATGATATTTGGCTGAGACCACCTGTGCCGCTGTTCCAGAATGAAACGGAAAAGAAGCACAGATTTGAAATTAAAATTGAGACGGTCCCAGCTGTATTACATTAAAAGGAATCTTTTTAGATTTTAATTTTTTTTGCCACGATAGCAGACTTTAAAGACAACTAGGAAGTAGAGTAACTGTTTGTGGAGCATGACAACACACACCAGACTCTCATCTGTGACTGCAACACACGCGCACACGTAACCACACACTTCTGCGTTACAGGGCGCACAGTATAAAATGTTAAGCATCTGCTGTGGCAGTCGTCGGAGAAGTTGCCTTTTTAAGCGGCTGCGCGCTTATAGCCTCTCTGCCTGTAGGTCGACTACAGTATTTATTGTTATCGTGCTACTTGTTGTGAAAATGATGCGACTTTGATGAAAGCCGATCGCATCCTGATATCACACATCAGTTGTGTGATAAGCACGACTGCTATGCTGCTTCCTTTTACACCCCCCCTTTATGTTACGCACCTATACAGAAACATGCAAAACCTTGAGAGGTAGCCGTGAACCCCTTTTGTTGAAGATTAATTGCTTTAATTGCATTAGTGCTCCACAGTGGCTTCAGCAGAAAGGGAACTAGTGTCACCAGCTGGGCAATCCATCTTCATAGCAGCAGCCCCGTTTTTTTTGTATGTGTGTGTGTTTTTTTTGTGTAGGAGACCAGTGGAGAGGGAGGGAATGTCTTATCTACCCCAGACAACCCTGCAGGGACGAGGTTTAGATGACATCAGCTGGAACAAAGCAGCTGAGAGCGCAGAGTGGGGCAGGTCTTGCTGATGAGTGTGTAAGTGGGCCGTGTCAGGCGCGGAGAGCAGCCTGCAAAACACGCCATTTCAATATGTCACCAGCAGGAAGAAATCAAGTTTGTTAGGCCACTCGCAGCAGATGCGCTCAATCAAGTGTCCTCTCACGAGGCGTCGCAAGATGTGCTGACGTCCCGACGCTGCTCCCTCTTGCATTAAGCGCCATCTTTTAAAGACCTTGAGTATTTATCTCTATCGGCTTTAGAAGCCATGCAAATGTTTGAGGAGGTGTTTAAATCCCGAGGGAGGCATTAAAGAGCTTTGGGTGTGGCGGGTTTGATGCTGTCGCTTCTGCGTCTTTGCTTTGTTGCAAAAAAAGAACAGACAATGCTGGACTTCACATGCATGTAAAATCAATATGCATTTTTTACTCTTTAACAATCATTATAGCCACCTTCCACCTTTCTGTAACACAGTGATGGACAGTCAGTATTTCAGCTTCTTTTTTTACTGAGCACAGTCCAAAAGGTTACATGCCTTTAAAAGGTCTAAGATGAGGCAATGTTATGCAAATGCTTTATGCTAAAATTAGATTTCCCTTTATTGTAATATATGTTTTTTCCCCTCACAAAAGATATCCAGAGAGGGGGAAACAATACAGAACCTGCTGGTGGCTGGATTCCTGGGGAAGCAGTATTCAGTCCTTTGTGTGTATTATAATCAGTGAGGGGAGATGGCACTCCATGAACAAAATGCACCCGGCAAACTGCTGCCAAGTCAAAATGCCAGCTGGGCTCCTGTTGTGTCTGTATGTGCAGAACACAGATAATATACAATATGTATAAAAATATGTATTGGTTTGTTGATTAGAAAGCCTGAATATTGAAACCAAACTAAAATAACTGTTAAATACTGATTTGTTGACATTGATTTGGGGATTTTAAATAGATTAAATTATGAAACCAAATTTAAATCATTTAGATTTTATTATATTAAAACAAATAATATCTATACAGTAGTTTAATTTTATTTATTGACAGATTTACTTTTTTGTGAATTTTAGTTATTATAGTTAGCCAAGTTATTTTGTATGTTTTGGCTCCTGCAACATAGGAATGAATAAAATAATGTATATCTTAGATTAGCTTAGCTTAGCTTAGTGTAGCTTAGCATAGCTTAGCTTATCTTTGAGAATTGCTACTTGAATTCAAATTGTTTTTGATTTCTGAAGACATCCACATAGACTAAAAAATGCCAACAATTATTTTTAAATAACTGTTCAAAAAACACCAGCTCGGTCACATTTACCTGACAAAGCAAGTTAACTGAACTGGTGAGTTAACGGAAAGTCAGGGAGACGATTAGGACTGATGCTCCCAACCCAAAAAAAAAAGAAAAAGCAAATTGGCGACAGCAGGGCTGCACAATTATGGCCAAAATGATTCTCATTTATTTTAATCAATAACATCACAATTATTTACAATAGTTATTCATTGATTTTAGTGACAAAATGTAAATAATAACCCTGCCTTTACATCCATATACCTAATAATATACACATCTTTGAAGCAAAACAAAGTTGGCCCTTTTTATTTATCTAATTCACTGCAGCTCTTTTATAAAAAATCTGAATGAAAAATTGTCAAATTTGAACACAAAATTAAATCAACATTTAAAGCCTTTATGCTAAATTCCGGGCAAATAAAACATCTTTGCAGGCAAATATGAATTTATCTGCTGGAAGTGCATCTCTTAAAGCAAGATATAAGCTCTTTCACTCCATTTATTGTACGTGCGTGATGGATGTGAATAAAGCTCGAAGCAAGTGAGATCCATCTCTTTTCCTCGTGTGACATTTTGCAGAACCCAGAACCCACTTTTGTCCAATAAATTGACAATTTTCTTGAAGTCTTCATTACTCACTGTGTATAGTGGACAGATGTCTTTGGTCGAATTGAATGCACTTTGTGAGTTAGATAGATGCACTGCTGTGCTGCTGTGCTTTTATGGCTGTCTGCGTTTCACACTAGTAACCACTGCATCGTTTCAGGGTTTTCAGGTGGTTAAATAAGTCAGTTGTCTTAGTTTGCAGTACAGACGCACAGCTGTCTTTGCCTTCTTCTTCGTTAACATCAGTTGTGCTGGATCCACAGTATTTGTAAACAGTGGTTTATGATCAGCTTCAAAGAAATAAGCTGTTTGCCTTCTGCTGTGACAGATATTTGAATTTTGTTGTATATCTGGCTTTTAACGAATCCTGGAAACCACACGCTGCACAGTTCAAGGAACAGCTGTGATTGGCACATTCAGAAATGTGGTCAGTTGCTGATTTGGGGAGCGCTTAATTTGCTTTTGCCATGTATTCTGCTGGTGGAGCATGCGTTTTTCAATATCATTTGATCAGCTTAATTCAATTGTGGGAAGCCAAAACCGCGATCAACATTAATATTGAATTATATGTGACAGTCGGTGTCCCCAGTCCAGGTTTAAATATCTAAACATAATACCCACTCTGCCCTGTCTTAAAGGATAAAAATCCTCATTCTGACAAACAAACATTTTTCTGTGAAAAACAGACTTTGGGTTTGTGTCT